ATGCTCCGGCAAACGCGATGATCGTTGCAGCAACGGTGGGTGATCGCGCAACAATTACTTGCTATATGAATAATTGATTCAATTATTTATATTATACGTATACGTATAATATAAATGATATCATTGATATCATTTATATTACATATATATCATACATCAATCATATACGAGTCTGATTTTTTCACTGTGACAAAGAAAAATAAAACCGATTTCTCTTTTTCCAAGTAATCGTGTCGCGCGCTGACTGTTTTCGCAGAGTCCTTGGAAGCTCTATTCACCCGCCGTTACCGAACGCGGTTCAGGAGCGGCTGCCGCGCCTGAAGGTCGTCGCCCTGGCCGCCGCGGCCGTGGTTCTGGACGCCGCGGTGGCACCGAGCCTCCTCGCGTGCCTCGGAATCGCCGCCGGGCCAAACGGCAGCCCACCTCGCCCTCGCCCCGCCCGCTACTGTGCGCCAGGAAGAAAGAAACTGAAGGGCATGACGCAGTCCTTGGGCATGAAGCAGTCATGCACGGTCTTCATGTGGTTCTTCATCTTGTCGGGCCGCGAGAACTCCTTGGCGCATACCGGACAGGGGAACACCTTGCGCTGATGACCCTCGTGGTAGAGGAACGCGTGCCGCTGGAAGCTGTACTTGTTCTTAAATGTCTTCTGGATGTCGAGCTTGGCGCACTCGGTGCACTGATAAACGCCCTCGTTGATGGAGGCGTAGCGGAAGAGATTCAAGCCGCGCACCGACATCTCCGTCAGCTGCTCGGCCGGATCCTGGGACTGCGACGTGGCGCGACGCCGCATACGCCGCTTCGGGGCCTGGCGGCCGCTCGGTGCCGACATGGCGGTAATGTTGGCGTTCGCGCCGCCACCGGAGTTCCTGGAGGCCGGCGATCCCGAGGAGCTGCGGGTCAGCGCGCCGCCTGCGCTCGTCGTCGTCGGCGTGCCGCCCGCGCTCGTCGTCGTCGGCGCCGCGTTCGTCGTCGGCGCCGACGACGACGTGCTCGCCCGTGCGTTCGACGGCGAGCTCGGGGACGACGACACGTCCATCGATGTCGTGGCCGGCGATGTGCCCGTGTTCATTCCGCGAGTTTTCTCTTTCCAGGTCTCGCTGCTATCCGTTTTGCTTGGCGAGAACTCTGTGGAAAGACGACCATTAGTAAATGTGTTTCTGGTTCAGTTACTTGAAGATTTAATTATTTTATGTGTATCATCTTTTTAACTAACTCATTGTACATATTTTAAAAAATTAAATAGTGTGCTACACCTCCTTCGAAAGTATCAATGTTGTATAATGCAGATTCTTTCGGTCTTTAATATGCTTCGATATAGTTTCGAAATACCTGTATATCACTTAATATTTTTCAAATGTGTATCGCTACAATAATTTACTTCAGAAATGCTTCAAGTTCTCTTCTCACGTTAATGGGATTTTTTAAAATAATTATTCGTAAGACTATTTGCTCTGAACATTGTTAAAATTATTCTCGCTCATTGATACTTTCTCCGAGGATATCGATGCAAATAATTCGCAATGTCTCTTTTGAAATATCGTTCTGCCGAAGACGATAGCTTCAAAAGAATCCAGTGCGTCTCATGCGAAAGCTATAAAGTAGGGCTAATAAACAAATAGTCGAGCTAATGATATACGATAAAAAAATATTGACGCATGCAAAGTGATCTAAATACATATCGCTACTATGCGAGTTAAACCACTATTAAAATTAAAACTATATTCGAATCGTGTCGATTTAACACTAAAACAATAGAGAATAGTGTACAGTGCTGTAATAAAAATACAACTTAATAAAAATACATCGTAAATGAGAGATCGAATAAAACGTAGAAGGGAAAAAATAAAATGAAAACACAACCATCGAGATATTCGAGGAAATTAATCCAGTTGAAATCGTACCTGGTTTTGTTTTTTGTACAAATGTCTAAATCGTGTTTCTGATAATAATGCAATAATCTAATTTCAAATTTACCGGGGAAAAATGTCTACTACTATATCACGAGTATTAAAAACGGAAGGAAAAAAAGGGGAGGCAAAAGGAATATAAATGAAACATCGTATAACAATATAAAACGTAACGGAAAATCATATACACATATACATATATATATTTTTTTCTTATTTTCCACAATCTCTTTGCTCTTCTTTTCTCGAAGAGAAAAAGAAAATAAAACAACAATGCGCAACATGCAAAACAAAGGTCCGTAAAAAATAATAATCGCTGGCCTCTCGTCGCGGTTGGCTACCCGACCATCCTGAGTTCTCCAGGACGTGGAAGAGTCCTAAGAATCGCTCTGGAGAACGTCAGGATCGCAGTCGCCTGTTCGAGCAAACCGCGACGAAGGAAACTTAACATCTAAGGATCGTCTCTTCGGCAGCCGCGATTCCAAACGCGTACCTTTCTCAACAAAACAAAAGATAAAAGCGGACTTTCGTTCCCGTAAATAAAGCACTGATTATCTTACAGAAATAATTAGCCACTTGTGGAGCAGCAAACTCTAATTCTACCTTCCCTCCAGTTATCGCAAGTGTCGATTCTTATTAACAGCCGCGTCGCGGGAATCCTCGCCGCTTCGCAGGGGCTAAAAAGTCTCGGCGCTTGCGATGAGAGGGGGAATTAGCAGGAAGACCGCTACAAGTATTTTACAGGTGAAAAATAATTTCTAGGAGAAATCTACGGGGATTGTCATTCGCGATCGGGACGGCGGCCGGCGAGACGAGTGCGGCTGGAACGAAAACTAAATAAAAGTAATTTTTGGCTAAGAATAACGGTGCTTCGTGACGAGTGCGGGGAGGTTTCTTGACATCTAGTGTCGGCGATACAAATAAAAAATAATGTATACATACAAATCGAGATGCATAATGGTATTCGAATTCCGTGGTGCGACACCAGCGAGAACGTTTGCCGCACGTGAAACCCGCGTTCTGCCCCCCCCTCCCGTCGAGGAAGTCGTGACAGTCGATTATGGCACTTTATTATGTTAATAGTCGAAACCGACGTTATCTGGACCACGAATATTGCGCAAGATTAATCATTCCACGTTTTCTTTTTGCCACATTAGTGCGATTAAAATTTCACTTAATTAACAAACGCGTCTTCAAACCATTAAAGTTCTCACAGCGGTAGATACAAACGCTGAGTTATCTCTTCTCGATTCAGCAGGATTAATTTAACGTGTTAATTCAATAATTAGTTAACGATTAAGAATTCGATAAAATTTCGAATATACTCTCTCCCTTTCTCTCTCTGTGCACGTTACAATTAAAAACACAGGAGTTTCTCCTTCGGTACCTCCGGCGGATCGTGGTCGAGAAAACACGTTCTTTTTTTTTGCTTTTGAGCAAGACCGGCGGCTTCACGTGCGCGTCTATCGTACATAACACAATAATAACGCAAAAGTGGAGCTGAGAAAGGAAAGGAAAAAAAGACAAAAGAAAAAAACAACGATTACTACTACATACGATTACTACGTTTGTTAGTGGCATTGGTAGTTACCTTTCCTCTCGAGTCAACGGGATTAGAAAGAAAAAAAAATGCGAAACCGTCGCCGTCATGTGCAGACGAAACGCGGAAAACGTTGGGCCGCACTAATATTTCCGCTTCCTCTTCTCTCTTTCTTTTTAGCACATATTTTTGTCAACACTTCCCACCGATCTCTCTGCGCACGTAATGACGATTGCAAAATTCGTTTGACAAAGATGTTTTCACACTCCCTTTCTCTCTCACTCACACACTCTTTCTCTCTCTCTCTCTTTCCATCATCATTCACCACAATATATATTAATACGTTACTTGATACGTTAGGCACGACCGACTTTATCGAGATACGCGAAGTCTTCTCTTTCCGCAGAATTCTCATAGTTTTCTGCGGTTAAGCTTCGTCGCCCGCGGATCTCGGAAAGTCGCTGGGTATACAGAATGTCCCGAAAGAAGCCGCGGGAAAATTTACCGAGCTAATTCAATCGATTAGATCTGCGGGATCCCGAGATTCGTGCACCCACGAATTTAAGTATTTCCGTTTCTCGTTTTCTTTTCCGCGTCTCGCTTCCCCCATCTAGAAAATTAAGTCTGCCGACGCCACCACTTTCGAGACACCGTGTATAGCGGATTAATCGGTGATCGGCGAGATATTTAAGAATCCTCCGATTTACAATCTATTGAACACCGTTCTTTTTATTATTGATAGTCATAGTCGAACAATCAGTGCATATAAAATATACTAAGTCTACCCAGCGTCAGAAAAGACTCGTCGGCTCTAGAAAAATTTTCTATAAAATTTTCGCCTCTCCTCTCTCTCCTTATTTTTTTTTCTTATTAAATTTTCGCTCTCTCGCACAAAGCGAATCTCTCCCTTATATTTGGCACTGAGAATGCGATCGTCGATCCGTCCCTTCGATGAAGGGAGAGGGACGCGCGCGCGATAACAATTTATTTCTCCTTTTTTTTTCACGTTCGCCTCTCGCACTACAATCCTCATCACGCTTTTCCATTTCTTCATTTTCTCTCTATTTTTTTTTCAACATTGTCGTTTATTTTATGTCGCTTAAGAAAGGCACCGAACCGGGGACTACTCGCGCGTTTGAAACATCGGATCCCGCATGAAGAGCACATGATAAATCAACGTGTTGCGGCGTTGCGCGTTTTCGCATTTAATTGCATTTACAAGAAAAATCTCGGGAGGTCGAGCGATCCCTTCCGTTTGTCGATCCTCTCGCGATCGCCGATCCCTCCCTCTACCTCTCGCACGCTCTTACGCTTGTTTCTTCTCTTTTTTTCTATTTTTACTTTTACCCTCGTTTTCTGACGCATCGTCTCGAAACTGCAACGACATTATATATATAATAGGTATTATCAACTAGCGCTAAAATATATTCGATATAACTTCTGTTTATATATATATAATATATAATAATAATGATAATCGTAATAATAATAATAATCGCAATAATATATGTATGTATATATATAATATATATGTATCATTTGTTTGACTCTCTCTCTTTCTCTCTGTCACACACACACACACACACACACACACACTCTCTCTCTCTCACACGCTCTCGTACTTGTTCTCTGTATACGTGTACCGTGGGTAATTTAATTGCGATAATAAACTATGATTCTTTTCTTTAATATATATAGATGTGTATGTATATATATATTTTTTAAATTTAATATATATATATTATATTAAAATCTATTCGATAGTACAGTCTGCTTTTTAAGCCTCGTAAATTAATCTTCCTCTCTTTCTCTCTTTTTCTCTGACTCTCTATTTCTTTCTTTCTTTCTTTTCTTCTTTCGCGATGATGGGCTTATCTTTGCAACGATGCGTGTCGCGCGAGATATCTATAAGAATAATCAATAATGTTATTGACTGGTGGTCCCCCCCTTTTCGCGAAGGGACGAACGTAAAACGAGACGAGAAAGAATCCCGGCACGACACCCTTGCACAAGAATTCACGCGCTCGCATAAATATAATATATATATTTATAATATATATGCTCTATATCGTAATTTTTCACGACCCCCCCCCCCCTCATTCACCTTCCTACGTCTCTCCCTAACAAGATCCATTAATTTAAAACGCGCCCTAAGCGAACACGTTCGAAACCCATCGGCGAGACTATCGCACCCGCGATGAGAGCGTGAGAATGTTCGTAGAGAAGCGCAACACGCCACCAACCCCTCGATGGGTCTTGCGCTCCCTTCGAGACGCAGACAACAGGCAGTTACAGAGACGGCGCACCGTTTCGCGAGTTCCTAGAAATTCCTTGTTGCGCGCGACATAAAATTTTACACGAGACCAACAAATTATACACGAGAACGCGATAGAATTTGGCGATAAACTTTGAAGACACAACGACACTATAAAATTTCGCAATGTATGTACAATTTAACAAATATCAACAAAATCTAATTCCGCAGCGCGTAATCCAATTTCCGAACGTCATTCGCAGAACATCCTCGGATTTCGTCTGCTTTGCAAGCGGCGCGTGCGGTTCCCGCGCCCGAGTGAATTTCGAGGAAAAAGACGGGATTTTGACAATGAAACTCGAGCGATGATTTGCAGCGCACGTACGCAGACACCGGCCCGGCCGTCCTCGCGCGAATAGAGCGATCCCTCGCGCGACACCTCACCCTTGACTTATGAACACTTTTTACAATTTGAACACTAATTTTGTACGAATATACGGGGACCTGACGTCGTGTATATATATATCTATCTCTTCTTTTTTTTTTGTACCCTCGGTGACTCGCAAAAAGCCCCCTCTCCCCAGTTTCCTCTCGATTGTCCCCACCCTACACGATTGGCAACGATTGAAAGCGCTTTTTAACGATCTTAACTCTAGAAAAGTTCAACAACGTCGAGAAGGCAACGAACGTGAGCGAATTTCTCCTCCCTTTTAAACCGCCTTTAAATTTAAACAACGAGTCTCAAGATCAGCCGCTGCATCTTCGCGATCTATGCTTCTTCTAACAGCGATTTATCCTGATCACGAGCCTTCAGGTGCCGACGAGGAATCCGGAGCGAGCCCGAGAATCGGCCGTGTTCTGCGTGCTATCGTCGCGTGTCGCGGAGTGCTCTCTGTAACTGCTCCGATTGCTACGAAAGGATGTGATAACGTTTGCCACGGATGCGGGATGCTCGACGGCCCGCGTGCCGTGAGACTGAAATTTTGCGACGGTAGAAAAAGGGTGGAAAAGTAAAAAAGATTCTCACAAATCTCGGAAAGACTTACAGAGACTCCAATCGAGACCCATTCTAAAAATTCGATCTCAACTTGTGTGTGTGTGTGTGATTTTGTAAATACATTCTACGGGACGTTTCTAAAAACGCGTCTTGCGAAATTTCAGCGATATGTTTTAAATGTATATGTATATATAATTGCTATGAGCTACCACGTGTATGTGTGTACATATGTAAATCCTTTGGTATACGTAGATTTTGTTTTTGAGAGCGCGGAAGAGAAAATTGCAAAAGGTGAGAACGATAAAATTGCGCCGACATGGCGATCTCCAGTTCTCACACCCTTTTTTTTCGCGCGCTTCTCACGCAGACATCGACTAGGGTGAACCAAAGCTATTATTGTACAAATAGATAAAATCCCTCAGAAACCGCAACACCGACGAGAGGCCCTGCAGGTCCCCCGTCGCAAAAGATAAAAAAAAACAAACAAACAACAAACGGCAATAACAACGATAAATCCGATCTGTCAAAATCAACTCGCTCGAAATCGAGACAATTGCAACGTCCCGGGAGAAAGAAAAAAAAAAACCTTTCGAAAAATTGTCGATCGCGTCGAGAGGACCTGCAGGCATTTTCTCTCCCCGGTGATCCTCTTCCCTCGATAATCCTTCGCGTCTTTCTCACCCTTTAATTAATTGAGTTAGTCTTAGCCTCTCAGTGATTATCAAATGTGAGTGTATTTAATTATTATTTGCTTGCCTCTCTTCCTCCTAAAAAAAATCGATATAAGCTGTCTAGCCGCTGCCTCTTTGCACTTTTTTGTTTTTTTTTTTCGTGAAAATCTACTCAGTTCCCTTGAATCCTTTCGCCGTATATCCCATACACACGCTGGACACACGTTGGACGGGCTCGTGACAACCCATCGTGGAACCAGGCCGTGACCGTCCCCCCTCGCTCCACCCTTGGCGCGAATTTTTTCTCAAGGGCGTTCGGGAATCCTATCGTTTACAGACACTCTTTGGTCCAACAAGGTTTCGAATATTGCGGATAATAATTGACCTGACAGCGCGAGATCCTGCCGTCCCGAGGAATACTGGGTGCCAAATGTCCGACTACGCGGTTTATCTTGAAGAAAAATCTAGGACACTATGACAATTGTAACAAGACCTGTCCTCAAAGTCGTAGGTCTTAATTCTTCGATATTAATTCGATAATAATGAATATTCATATATTTATATGAATTATCAATTATTATATCTATTTAAATCATGAGCGATTCCTTAATTTGTTTTGCCACTTGATAAATTAATTATCTCGGTCATTATGCAGTCGGCTGTGAATTTTTTTTTAGAAACATCGCGCAACACCGCGATGCGCAAATTGCGAGAAAAAGATCTGCCGATTTCCCATTGGCACCGCGTATCCTGGACTTGCGAGACTCGCGGAAGATTTCTCCAGGACGCCACCGTCCTCTCTCGCTTGGGATAAATAATCTACAAGGGTCGCGCGGTAAAAAGCTCTTTGGTCCATCGAAGTTTCGAATATATTGCGGATAATTGACCTGAGTGCGCGAAAATCCACGGCACGGCCCACCCATCCATCCGTCTCCCTTAACGTTCACGAAACAACCCCCCACGCCGTTTCTTTCAGTCAACAAACCCCCTGTCCATGTCACAGGTCCCTTTCGTTCTCCTATGTCTACTGCGCTATCTTTGCTGCCTTTGCCCTAACTGGTATTATAGAACTCTCTATTCGCTTAAAAGTACGCTCGGATCGCGGACCGCGATCTTAGCGGGCACCTCGAATAAACGCGGAGCAAGGGCACCCGATAACGTTGCTCCAACACACTTCAAGATCGTGCTCTAACTTAACAAAACGTATCTCTTCGTGTTTGAGGTAGCGTTCCAATATCGCGAAAAACGTTTCCGTTCAAACGCGATACTCCACTTTCTCCGACGTGTCTCTTCCGCGAAACGAGCGAGAGCCCTTGTTCCAGGTCACATCGCGGCGCTCACTGTCGCTCGCGACGACGATCCGGCCCTTACGACTACAACTCTTTTGTTATCTTCTTTGCAAACGCTAGATACCTCTTGAATAACGAACGAACAACACTGGTCGACCGGGGCCTGTTCAACCCCACCGCGCGTTAAAGTAACAACGAAGATCTCCGTCACTTGTAATAACTGATTAATAGTAGTAGTGATAATAATAATTATTATTATAGTTATTATGTAGCCTCTAGTCGTCTAACGTCTATGCCCAACTAGTGAAAAATTTGTATATAAATCGTCTCGCCCCTCTCACGGAGGGAGGGCGCTCGACGGAGTGTAAGGTGCAAAATATAGTAAGCTACGATCTCGTACTTTTAGTGCTTTTTCTCGCGACTAAGCCTCTAACCGTCATTACCGCACCACCATGCGACCTGTCTCGGTCGATGACAACGTTCTCATCCGATTGTCGTGACAAAACTTGAAATTGTAAAGAGTAAAATAACAGATAAAAACAGTTACATGTACGTAGATTTCTAACTATGTGTAAAAATTACATGGACTCGGTACTCTGACTATTCAAAGCTCGGGGGAGGCTAGGCTTGAGAACTTGGTGAACTCCGGGCGAGCGATGATTTTCAAATAAAAACAGTAAAAGCCACGATATTCGAAGTTACTATTCGCGCGGAATAAGTTTGATAGAAAAACTATTATAGGCGAAAACTTTCACCGAACTAATGACGACGATCCGTTGATAAATGTGATACACGCACACATGCTGTGTATCCCATTCGCACAGCGATAAACACGAAGCGTCGCTCCTAGCTCGCTATCGAGTTTTGTACGTTTTCCTTTAAAATTCCGACCGCAGCGGAATCATTGTTTACGTTACGCGACAGTTCTTGAAATTTGACAATTTTTCGAACTTTACAAGTTTTGAAAGAGCAGAGTTAAGAGAGCATCAGTCAAGCTCCGATACGAGTAACATTCTATTCTTGCGTTATCACCCCGGTTCACCACGTTCTCCACTTAGCATTCCGGATGTTCACGTCGACATCCGGAAGGTGGACTCAGCCGAGCAGGCACAGGACGGTCCGGCATGACGGCGGCGTTAAGTTACTACTAAGGTGCCTTCAGTCTATCCAATGTCAGTACTATCTTGTATTTGGTGTCGTTAAAACCGTCCCTCTGCAGTCTTTCGCGAGATTGCGCGCTTCCCCCGTACCGTCCCTCCGCCCCTTTCGTCGCCGCTCCCCGGGATATGCCAACGCGGCATTGTCCTCCGCGACCCAAACGGCTCAACAACAACATGGCGAACGGTCATTGATACATATATATTGCATTTACTCAGTCTACGTAGTTTCCTTATTACTTATATCGCTCGTACGCGCGCACGTTTCACCCTGGTTCGCCTTCTTTCCGCCCTTCCTCTTCCACTACAAAGATAAGCATCCGATATAAGTCTCCTATAAGTTGAACTCAAGTTCTCTCAATAATTTAACAATTATATAACAAATGATTATATGTAATTGGTGTGTTCTCTCATTATTCTCAATCTCGACTTGCAAGAGCTCAGCTTCTTTTATTGCTAAACATGATTACCTTATGTGGCCTCTTCAGAAGATAACTTCGAGATACTCTATCAAGTATTGAAAACTGTTTTTCCCTCTTTTTTTACCAGGAATAAAAATCCGCGTTTGAAGAACGCGAACGAAGGATGCGTAAAACACGCGCGCGCACCTCATAGAAATGTATCGCCGAGCTACGTCAGCTGGCGTGTTTGATTCTTTCTGCAACGTAATATAGTCAGGCAATAGTAAATATACTCTTTCTTTCTATCTGCGCGTTGATTTGGATTTACACGATGCCTCTCCCCCCCCCCTACTTTGCTACGCGATAACCGGTTTCTCTTTTACAACTGATCACCCGTTGTACGACGCTTGAACCGCGCTGAGACGACGCATCGGTTAGATTTATATAAACTCTTTGTTTATGATGCGATATAAAGCCTCTTCCTACTTCCGTCTCCCGTTTCTTTTTACATCCGCCTCGCCCATTCTCGTCGGGACGAGCGCGATAAAGCTCGTTCGTTTTGTAACTTTAATGCCCGTTGCTTGTTACGCGCGCGCGAATCGTTCCCGCGAAGCTTCCGGCGATCGAGGCTTGATCCTTGGAGAAGTCGGACGTTGCGTAACGCGAAATGCCGAAGCGTGCGCATTGTGGGTCCTCGAAGGCACGGAGATTGATAAAGTTAACTAGGACTAACGCTAGGATCAGGACCAGGGCGAGGACCTGGAACAGGGATAAAATTCAGGGCAGTTCGAGTTACACGTAGCTGCCTACGAGACCTTTTTGCTAAAGGGATACCGTCAATCGACAGTTCGCTAGTACACGTAAGTATCGCATAGAAATTATTTTAATAATTGCTTGACTCGTCGTAATGCATTACTGGACTTGGTCAGACCCGCGCATCGCGGATTACGCAGCGTCGATGCGTCTCGGCGGATCAGCTTCGTTAATCATTTGAGCGATTCATCGCGTGTCTCTAAAGCGGCCCTAAAAGAAAATTCTGCGGCTTGGAAGTAGAAAAGTACTTGCGCGTTTGATATCTGAATATACGACTCTTCTTCCAAGGCATAGATTTGGTATCAAGATATTGAGCTAGTCTCATGCAATATGCACGTCGTGTAACATTAGAACGGCGAATACACGTCCTCCGCGGGATATGTCTACCCTGTAGATTAGAGGCGATTAACGTGCAAATGATTAATTCGCATACCGGAAAAACTGCCATGGCGAACGCTCGCGCGAAAACTAAAGACTGTGTACTCCGGCGACGTTCATAGCTTTGAATCTTGCACACCCACCTGTTCTGCGCGTACCCACCCACTCTGGCCATTTTCGGCATAGCCACTCCGTAAGATCAGCCACTTGCCTACCTATTTGTTTACTCGCTTACTCGCATATATCTATCGTCCATCTCTGCGTCCGCTCGTAGAGGCGCACTGACTTCGTTCGAGGCGTCACTGACCTCTCTCGCGCTTTTTCCGAGCTCTCCTCAACCTCCCATCTCCTCCTCCTCCTCCTCCCTCATCGTTACGTTCTTCGGTTTCGTCTTCTTGGCGAGCGCATCGGGCGAGGGGAACCCGCCTGTATGACGTTCATCCGTCATAGACGCAATCATTTCTTCTTATCATAATTCCTTGGTACCTTTATAATCTACGACACCGTCAATTCTAGAAACCTCATCCTTTTTGTCCGTTAGTCACCGGTATCGAAGCCTCTCGGTAACATAGAAAGTGTTGGTGTCGAACTCTTAAACATCTATTTCGTAATATCCTATCATGGACATGGTACAATATCGTGAACGATATCGTCATTTACAGCATTCCCGGCACCGCGGATTCATGCGCGAGGCCCGAGAAACGCGGTCCGAGGGAGGAGGCGGGATACGAGGGCGCCCAGCCGGCGATGGTCTACCGCGGCTGACCCATACTGCTGCTACTATTGCTGCTGCCACTATTATTGCTGAGACTTGTGTGCGGCTTAAGACTATGTATGATCTTGACGTGGGCGACCATGTTGTCCTTCCTGGTGAATTCTTTGTAGCAGACCGGGCAGGGGTAGTACTTGACGTTAGGCTTGTGCGAGGTGACGTAGTGCCGGCAGAAGTTGCTGATGTGTGTGTACGTGCGATGGCACACGGTGCACCGATAAACGTCGCCCTCCTTGACGCAGAAGTCCCGCACCGAGCCCTCCGTGCGCTCGTTCTCGGCCTTGAACGAGCCCTCGAAGTCGCTCTGACTGATCTCCGCCTCGCCGGCCATCACGCTAAATATGGCACTGCTTATGCTGTCCTTCGACAACGCCTTCGTTTCCATCTCGGTGTCCGAGTGTTGCTGTTGCTGCTGCTGCTGATCGTCGCCCAGCGCGGTGGCGGTCGACGCGGCCTTACCCTGCAGCGTCGACGTGCTGAACTCCTTGCGAAAGCATCGCTCGAAGTTGATGCGGATATGAGTCGGCGGCTCGCCGCTATCGCCACCGCCGCTCGACGTCTCCTCCAATTCTGAAACGAAGAGACCTCGATCCTTTAAATCGCCCTCCACGCCCGCCGCGCGTATAATATATGTCGTGCAAGCATTCGGATGCGCGGTAGGAGTTCGTTTATCAGAAGGCCAATGCTTTAAGCTCTTGCTCGTAACGCAAGCTTGTTTCCAGAACGGTATCACAGACGAATGGATATTCCAGAATTGTGGAATCGTCGGTTTCCCAACGTTATCTCTGCGCGTATACCAGAGATCCTCGATACCGAGGGGGATCTCTTCGTCGGCACCCAGGTCAGTCTCTCTTGACTCTTTACTCTTGGCCGGGGATCGTGCCTCTTCACCCACGTCGTCTCCAACGTCTTACGATCACGGTAAGAGTTACCGTTGCACAAACTCCTCCGCGGACGTTCTGATAAACGGAGTTCTACCGCGCATCTCGTCACTACGTTATCTCTGTGTACGATGTACTTGTATTGGCACAACGTATTTCTCTATATTTGTGGGGGGAAGCAAGAGGAAGGGTAGAGCCAGCAAAAAAGAGTCACCGTGTTCGAATCGGCCGTCTCAGTCAACTTCTGTCCCGCGTTAAAGGATACTTCCACGGCTGCGACACGCCCTCTCCATGTCGTCCCCGCCCCCGCTCGTCTCGTTTATATCCCCCTTTGCAGACAGACACTCTCGCACACTTTCACGCATCCTCTCACGCCGTTCGGTTGCAAAACCGAACGGTTCCCGGCAACGTCAGTCTTTCCCCTCTTTCTCCCGAGCTCTCTCCTAGCTTTTCACGCATTTCCTCTCTCTCCCTCTCTCTCTCTCTCTCCCTTTCTCTCCCACGTATCCTCCGCCACGCATCCACCATGCACACACACGCCACCCTCCCCCTCAGCCCCATTCGCCCGAAGAACACTTCACACGCGCTCGCACACTCGCGAACACACGGTACAAGCCCACAGAAGATCCGCGTATACACGGGATGCGCCGCGCGATACGGTACCCTCCGTTCCGATCGTAGATCCCGATGGGGAGGCTGGGAATTATCGCGGCGATTGTTCCAACGTTCGAGGAAGTTGGCCGAGGATCGCTCCTCGAGTCGACGACCACGTTCGAACGTTCGGATCCCAATCACCCCCTACGGCTTTGCGTAACCCACAGGACGGGAGTAAGAACTTCACCGTAGCGCTGCTCTCCCGAGCTCGGAATCTACGAACGGCAGGAGGGACCCCCTCGGTCGGGTCGCGACCCGCATGTGTACGCGTACCAGGCGATCACGCATATGCGAAACCGATCAAACAGACCGAATAGATTACCAGCGACACATGTACACACTTCAACCAACCAACCCCCTCCCCCCCCCAGTTCCCACCCCAGCCCCCTCGGTCCAGTGCGTCCAGTCAGTCTGCCTGTATCCATCTCTACGGGAAAACGATCCATCGAGATCGAGGACGCTCGAGAGAAAAAAAAAGGCAATTCTTTTCTCCTCCTTGCGTGTTTGCGTTTCAGATTTGACTTTAACTTTTTGGAAAAAAAAATTTCGGTTTCGGAATTTATTACACGTGGATTTACTTCTAACAATCGTTTACCGCCTTCGACTTCCGGCGTCACATCCTTCTACATCTGGCTTTCTCTTACACTCCGGCACTCTTTTTTTTCGGAACGGTTCCGTCTTTTCGTTCTATCTATCTTATGCATCTACGACTTCGACTTCAACTCCATTTTTCTGTTCTACATCGTTTTTTTTTTATTTTTTCTAGCGGCTGGCCTCCCTAGCTCCCTCGCTTCCCCCGCGCAAAGCTTAAAGAAATCTCTCAAGAATGATGGTGACTCAGATAATCTCAACTCACCTGCGCCAAAAGTGAACAAAGCGATCACGGTCACTATTGAAACGAGATCATCTCCGACGACATCTTCGAAGCACTCTCTTTCTCTCTCTCTCTCTCTCTCTCTCGCGCGCGCGCGCACGTAATGCATCTTTTTTATAAATAGGAAAAAAGAAACGTACGTCACACTATTTTCTCTCTCTTCTGATTTCTCTCTTTCTCTGACTCGTCACTCCTCTCTTTATATTTTTACACATTAATCTATCTAGCCTGCTTCTACCTTTATCTTTGCTATTCATCCTTTTCTCATTGTCGTCGTTATCGTCTAAAGCAACGAGAAGAACGCAAGAGAAGACGGAAACGATAAACCTGCCGACAATGTGTCGTCCGTTGTTTAACTCACATTTTCATCATCATCATCATCATTATCATCATCATCATCATCATCGTAATCATCATCGACGCGTTTACGTCTCTCTCCTCTCTCTCTCTCTCTCTTCCTCTTTGCCGTTTGTCTTTTCGCGATTAAAAAAAAAGAGTGAAACTTCTCTATTCTATCTTCCTCGCAACGAACGAGCGTAAAAGAAGTTAACCAGCGTTCAAGGTGTGAAAAATCAGACAACAATAAAAAAAAGTAAGCACCGCTAAAAGCTGGCTCCACCCCCTCCTGTTACCATTGGCCAATGGCAGCGAAGCGTATATATATATATTTTTTTTTTCCATTCGTGCGAAGACAGCCTGGGGAAGGGGGGCGGGGGGTGAACGCGATATGTGGGGGACGTTAGCGGAGAAGTTTCGGGGGTTAGGGCCAGAGGTTCGAGGCATCGAACAGAGCGACAGGTGCGGTGCGGCAGAGAGAAGGCACAGATTGATCATGAAGAGGCAAGACGGGGGAAGGTGGCTGATTCTGTGCTACCGAGAACAGGGCGGGAGGGAGGACAGGAAATGAGGCGCTGCGCATTGGCCGAGCGTGAGAATTACGTATGGGTTATATATATATATATGTAATTAGATGTATCTATATATATATTATATATATATTATGTACGCCCTCGACGAGAACAACGACTCGGCGGCGCGAGTGCAATGGGGTTTCATTAGAGATTAATTAATTTCGCAGACGATCGCACAAAGGGGAATTCCCTTTCCGGGTATTCTTTTTCACGGGGTGTCATGGTAACAACATTCCGAACGCGAATTCTCGATTAACGAGACGGCTTCCCGTTTATCGCTCTCTCTCTCTCTCTCTTTCACACGTTATCTCTCTCTCTCCCTCTCTCTCTTTCTTCCCCATTCTCTCTTCCTATATGAATGTGCGCGTCTTCGTCTGTTTCTTACTACACATCTTTTTGTCTCGATCTTCGTTCTTTCCTCGCGAGATTTGAACACCGCGCGCTCTCGGATTCGGAAAGGGAAATGATTTTTATCTCGCCGGGAAATTGGTTTTCTACCGCCTCTCGTCGCAAATTCTTCCGGACGCTGACTTTTCTCCTCGCGTCGGAACTGTGGACTGTTTTTTTCCTATCTCTTTCTGCTTCCTTTTCGTGTGCGTTTTGTTTCGAAAATGGTCAGAGGTAAACGCGAGATTTTCGTGAGCGCGGCCAACCCTGGTCAGCGCGCCGCGATTAAAAAACGCGCGATCGCGGTTTACGGAGGCGAATCCGCGCGCGCGATTCGAGGGTCGCGAGTCCTGGCTATAGCTCCTAAAAGGAAAAAAAAAAGCGCGGAAGGAGCGCGCCTGCAGGAGTTGCGACAACGACTGGCCGAGCCGCTCGGCAAGGCAGCTCGAGAGAAGTCTGAAAAGTCAAATTCATTAGCAGCACATTAGGATAGAGCGTCGTCCACGGCGGCGGCAAACGACGCGCGCGACCGGATCCGCGCGGGCCACCGCAACGCGAAGTGTGACGCGAAGTCTCGAGACATGGCTGATTGAGATATCGAGAGGCCCGTCGGGCTTTCCGATTCTGAGATTCTCAGACGCCGTCGATCGACCTCGACGAATCGTGCGAGAGAGCCGTAAGAGTCGTTCTCACGTAGAGAGTCTACAGCGTCGTCCATAATGCCGCGCAAGGTTCGCTTGCTTGCTTGCTCCTCGGGACGCGTCCACAAGAAACGAATATAAGCATTCGGACGGCACAAAAGCGAGTTCCTTTTCCCCGTCCTTTGGGTTCGCGCGGAGAAGAATGTTCGGCGACGAGCGCACAGCTCGGCCTGTTATCCAGACTCGATCCGTTAAATTGTTTCGCGGTTATTTGAAAAAAAAAGGGGGGCATTACACTAGTTTCGTAACTTTTACAATTTGGGTCGAGATGATCTAACATTCTTCTCCGTGCCCGCGTTATGGGAATCACATTTCACACCATGCTAAGACATCTGATGGGGCATAGTTTCGATTGGACGCGATTAGACTTTATCATCTTTTTGCATTTGTAAAACTACGCGTTTCACTAGAAAGAAAGAAAAATGAGACCATAGTCAACCCTCGGGCGCGCGTTGCGTTTAGCGTTACATCTTGCGACTTACCTTGTGCAATTTTCAAGAGCTTATCTTTAAAATCAGCAGTTACAGGAATAACAAGAGATAGTTCGTACGCAACAGCGCGCTTGTCCGAGGGTTAAACAATAGATTAACTCCAACGGATCTATGTATATAAATTATATTCTTTTCAAAAATAGCAAGAAATATTCCTAGATTTTAATGGAAATCTATTAATGGACGTTAATCCAAAGATGATTGAAGTGACTGCAAATTTGTCGCGTGTAAAAGAGGTCGAATCTGAAGGAGTTAATATCTCGCTAATTAAGTAAGTACATATTTACGTCTGCGTAATTGATGATATAAATTATGCAACAATAGTTGTGATCGATCATTTAATCAATTACAATTTACAAACGCGCACAGCTCTCCGTTTGGTAAGGCAAGGTACACTATAAAATCATGTAAACCGCGGTGAGATTCACCGTTTCGCGCTGTATCAGGGAGTATTAGCAATGCAAGGCTTCTCTGTATCGAAGTCGAGTAAGCTGAAGGTCTTACCTTGCTTGAAACCCTCACTCCCTTGCCTACTGTGCGGCCGCGCGAATGTCTCATCCGAAGCTAGAATCAACAACGACGAGACGAATCAGCTCCAGTTCACAAATTTAAACTAGACGTTACATCGCACATCGCCGCGTTCCGCTTCATACCTTGCGAAGTGCTGGGCGTCGGTTCTGGTTCTCGTTTGACCCGCGTGACTGGCGTTTCCGGCGTGTCGGTACCGTTCTCCGTAGGCTCGTCTCTCCTCGCCGACGATGATCCCGAGGAGGCCGTGGCGGCGGCGGCGGCGGCGGCAGCGGCGGAATTATTGGCGGCCGACGCAGAGCTGGCGCCGACGTTGTTGTTGGAAGAGGAGGCGTTTCTCACGTTGCCGTTACCGCTGACCTCGCTCTGAAAGTCCAGTCCCATCTTCATCTCCATCATCTCGGGCGAGCCCTGGACTAGATCGGCGCCAGAGCAGGACTGCAGGTCCTGGCCGCCGACTTCGCTGATTGGCGTGTCCGACGAACCGCTCAACTTCCTGGGTCTGCCGCGTTTTCTCTTGGGCGCCGTCAGCGCCGAGCCGAGCAACGGATGGCTGGACATATGGTGGAACCTCTTCTGCGCAGCATGATGATGATGCTGACCGATTTGGTTGATACGATGAAGACTGGGCGGCGGCGGTGCCACCGCGTTCTGATTGCCACCCAGCAACGAGGACGTGATGTTTGGCAAGTCGCACTTGTCCTCGTTCACCTCGGTCAGGCCCTTTATCCTCAAGGACTCGGCGACCCGCAGGAAAGCGGTCAGTCGATCCTGATCGACGCTCACCTCGCCGCGGTACATGAAGTCCAGGAGGCTGCGCATGTCCACATATGGGACATCCTTGAGAATGACTATCGGGTGCTTGTCGGGGTGTCCAACGAACAGGGCCTGTAAGCACAAATTATCAGGTCAGTTTGGAATTTTAATCCTCCTCTTTAGTACAAGTTGCACGTGGTAAATTCTGCATTACAATTATTATTCTAAAAATAGTATTCAATTAATTTTTCTAAGAACTGTGTCAAGATGAATAGAATCCAATTATGGATCCGTCATAAAATCTATGGAATACTGTCCCTTTATTGCGAAATTACAAATAACTGGCGACAGTCGCTATTCAGGTAAAGTTTAGACTTCAATCCGAGTGACTTGTAAGCGGGCGGGAAGTCGGGGCTTACCTGAAAGTAGGGGCTACACGCCGACAGCACCATCTTATGCGCCCTGAGTAGCTGGCCCTCAACGGCCAGCGTGACATCGACGAACGACTCGTCGTGCAACAGCTGGTCGAAGACGGAGAGCAGATTGCTCTGGTGGTTGTTCCAGCGCAGACAAAATCTCTGCGACGCCATCGCTTCGCTTCTCAGATCCGCCAGGTTGCCGTTGATGTCCGCTAACATGGGGGGACCTGGCTGTTCGTCGCCGCTTTGCCGCCGTTGCCACTGCCGCTGCTGCCGCCGCCACTTCGTCCTCGTTCCTTCTTCTGTTTCTCCACACCGCCACCACCTTCTACGACGACGAAGCCGCTCGCTCTTGCTCGTACTGCTGCTCCTTCTACTACTCGCCCTCGTGCTGCTCTGCTCCTCATCGGCCAAGAATTATCGTGTCCGTCTTACTCGTGATCTGTCGCAGAAAGATAGCAACGTGAAAGAGGACGTCCCCTTCTTCGATCTATAACTGTCTTAGATCCTAACCCAGGGTGTCCAGTAAACTCAATGAAAAAAATTCCCTGACTTTTTCAGGTTTTCCAGGAGCCGGAATTAATTTTAATTTTGACCGTTTAGTGTAACTTTTTTCAAGATGCATAATTTGCGTACATCTGCATGGTAAATCAAGTAAATGTTAAATGACGAGGTCCTCGAAATAGTTGTCTCGGGAAACAAAAGTTCGAAATTTAAAAAGGTAAAAATTTAAATTAAAGCAAGTATACCGTCTATGTATAATGCATTGTGTAATAGAAACGAACATATCATTACAGACCATTCAAACCGTTTGTGATATCGTACGTAATCATACATAATGCTCTCGTTTTGCTTAAATGCATTTTGTTTGCAACTTACTAGACAGTAACTTACTTAGATAGTACTGTTCAGTAATTCACCTTTCTTTATAGTTTTGTCTCAGTTGAACGCATTGAAATAAAATAACACGATGATGAAAATATAAATTACCGACCACGCTTATAAATAAATCGATGTTTAGCAAAACAGAAAATTAGTGTACTGAGAGCCAAAGAAAAGTTCATTTTCCCAGATTTCTCTGACCACTGGACACCCTGTGACCGAATCTCAATAAGAACTTTTCTCTACATTAAGCTCGCGTCTTTCAAGTTTCGTGCAATTATATTAATATGCCAACGTTGTTAGTGCGATGTATAGCTATTAAAGGATAATTCTTTATTGTTGGCGAGCGTCAAGACTGATTGTCTTCGAATTGAAGTAAATTAAAGTACTTTCGGCAAGTAAAGAGCGTTGGAGCAGGTGCTCCGAGGTGTTCAGAGTTGCGAGAGCGACTCGAAAGAAAGGATGGGAACACGATGGAGGATGAACGTGGGACGTACGACCCTGGAGGGCGTAGGCAGAAAACGAATAGGCGAGTCACTCGGCTCATGTGTGCCTTTTATGCAATTCTCTCCTCTCACCCCTTCCAATTGCGGTCATCACGTACGTGACATTTTATCTCTGGATGAGAGGTGAGAGACGATCTATTGGAATTAAATGAAGATGAAAGCATTCCTTCCCCCCCCCCACCCCGCGCTTCCGTTAAAGTTTCATTTGCAATTTCTTCGCTCGTAACATTTTTTGCCAAAGCCATTTACGTTTCATTTACGCGATTGATTAGATCGCGTACAACGTTGCCAGACGCCTCTACTCTTGCGGTGATCCTTTCGTGTATTCATTACGATTATATTTTACGGAGATCTTTTAACGGCTGATTTTTTATCCGTTCAATCTCGATATAACCTATTTGTTTAAATAACACTCACGAGAAAGAGAGAGAGAGTTTTCCGATTCTGCACGGTATTTGGCGCGTATTTTTATTTCGACGTGACACATTGGCATCACAGCCGTGCACGTAATACAGCGAGATGAAAATAACGATCAAAAGAGAACAGAGGAGAGCCTCGGTCTCTCCAGTCGGATCGTCGCCATGGAGAGAAGAGGTCGTCGGGTCGGCCGAGGGAATCAATAGCATTTTCTACGCATTCGGATCGATACCGGGAACCCGCTGGTGGCTTTCGCGCGCAAATCACGCTACATGCATGTAGACGGCTGGCATCGCGCGCGGGACGCGGGGACGAATCGACGGGGGGGGGGGAGGAGGAGGACCCTCGGGGATCCGCGAAAAAGCGCGACAGCGGGAGAGAACGAGGAGAGCGCGAGAGTGCACAAGTTTCTAACGTCACCGCGCGGATAAATCGAACGTGAATATTTAATTCAACTCTACTTAGCCCGCGCGGATCGCGGCAACGTCGATTTGCAATTTTAAATTCCTCACCACCACCACCCTCCCCCCTTCTCCCCGCTCAAGAGACTCGCGCTCGTCCACCTGCATCGCGTCGCACGCGTGCTGCACACGCCGCTGCATATGGCGTATGGGATGCAGGATGGTTGCGCGACCTTGCGCGACCTTGTCGGTGACCAGAGCGCGCGCGTACGGTTTTCACGGTGAATGGCAGCCCCGACACCATGGCGAGGCGAGAGCAACGCGCCGAGAGAAAAAAAGAGAGAGAGAGAGAGAGAGAGAGAGAGAGAGAGAGAGAGAGAGAGGAGGGAGGGGAGGG